CACTGGCGCCCCCAGGGAAGGGTGATTCAGGTGGGCTCTGCAGAGTCCCATACCCTCCCTTGGGCTCCTTGTGTCCTGGGCCTAGCCAGAGGCCATTTGTTCCCCTGAGATCCTGTTAGCAGCACCCAGTTTGGAGGGCAGGGACAGTGTCACACCCACCCTGGAGCACAGTGGGCCTTGCAGGAGGCTGCCACAGCAGTGACACAGGCTCCTCCAACAGGAAGGGGCCCTAGAGATGGGGGGCACGGCACGTGCTCCCACAGCAGTGTGGTTCTGGGACTGGGGCTGTCTCCTGGACATTCCTGACAGTGAATGGTGCCTTGTGCACTGTGTGGCCTCTGCCTGATCCAGACACAGGATGCCATGACCACAGGTACAGCATGAGGCTCTGAGTTGGGTCTGTTTCTTGAATTTTCAGTTGGAAATAATAACGGTGCCCACCTCGAAGGGTTGTCGGGCACTTTAGTGCTGGCATGGGTGGGCGGGCAGCAGGGGTCAACTCTTTCACATTTCAGTTCTGTGGGAGGCTGGGAAGGAGAAGAGGGCCATAGGAGCAGCCCAGGCCATTGGTAACATGGTGTATGACCCCAGACCTGCTGTGTCCCACCCCCAGTGTCACTTCTGTGAACAATCACTACAGTCTTAATGGCTTACACCAGAACATCCAGGATCTCGCAGTTCTGCAGGTGAGAAATTCAGCATGGTCACGAGGGACTGGACTGACTCCCGAGGCTCCAGAAAACAGTCTTGGCCAGCTCCTGAGGCCACTGTATTTCTTGGGTGCTGACCCCTTTCTCATTAGCCGTCAAGGCTAATGACAGCTGAGTCCTCACGTCACACATGTTAAACATCCACCCTCTCATGTCTTCCTCCATCTGTTCTGGTCCCTCTTCAGCCTGTAAGGACCCTGTGATGACATTGGATCAATTTAAATAATCCAAGATAATCCTCCTGTTGAAGTCAGCTGATACCTGCTGTAGTGGCACATACCTATAATCCTAGGTACTCTGGAGGCTGAGGCAGGAGGACCACAGGTTGGAGGCCAGCCTCAGTAACTTAGACTTTATCTCAAAAAGGACTGGAGATACAGTTCAGTAATAAAGCACCCCTGGATTCCTGGGTTTGATCCCCAGTGCTGGGTGGAAAAAAAAAAAAAGGTATGTGTCAGGCCCCACAAGTCCTGGCTTGGCCTCTGCCTAGTAAATACACTGAATCCATTTGTTTCTAGAACAGACTTGCCTTCTCCTGCCTGGGGACCAGGTGTCCTCTTCTTCCCTCCCTGCCTTGGCTTCCTAGCGCACCCCGGCCCATAGCCCCTTGACCCTCCCCAAAACCTGAACCTGTCAGGTAGACCCCTGTCCGCCCTCCATGCTTGCAGGGCCAAGACCCTGTTCATTGTCTCACAGCCTCACTGCTGTGTGGCCTTGGGTGAGTCACATCATCTTCCTGGGACTCCTTTTCCTCATCTCTAAGATGGGAGCAGTCGTCCTAGCTGCTTCCCCATTGCCGTGTGTGCGGGGCGACGGGAAGTGCTCAGGAGGAATGATGGTTCCCTCCCCATAATGCCATTCCATTCCCGGCTTCCCTAGTTTCCTAGGGCTGCCCTCATAAAGTCCCACTTACTGGATGGCTCAACAGGACAGAAATTAAGTCACAGTTCCAGAGGTCAGAATCCCATAAGCAAGATGCTAGTTAGAGGTGACCTGTGTGGGTTGGTGCTAGAGCACTTGCCTAGCACGTGTGAGGCTCTGGATCCCATCCCCAGCATCCCCACCCCAAAAAGGTGTGGACAGGGGCCTCTTCAGTTCCTGGTCCCCTTCCTGGGCTTGTGTAGTCTCTGCTTTTGAGGTCATAAGGCATTTGGGGGGTTGCGGGGAGGGGGTTGAACTCAAGAGCATTCTACCACCAAGCTACATCCTCAGCCCTTGTTAGTTTTTATTTTGAGATAGTCTCACTAAGTCGCCCAGGCTGGCCTGGGGCTTGCAATCCTCCTGCCTCAGCCTCCTGTCCTGAGTTACAGGAGTGTGCCCCCAAGCCCAAGCCCTACTGGCTGCGTTTCCCCTGTGTTCCCACTTGCATCTATACACACATGCAGCACGTGACAGAGGAGCAGGCCCCACCCAACACAAGACAACCAGGAACGGTAATGGACAAGGAGAGGGTTGGGGATGAAAGAAGGCTTCCTGGAGGAGCCCTCCAGGCTCAGCAAGGTGGAGGTAAAGGCACAAACCGAGAGGGCTTTAGGAAAGCCTGGGCTGTGACCTTGGAGCCTGACACTGACCGCCTGACTCAGGGGAGGAGCAGACCCCGGGACAGACTCACTGCTTGTCCTTCTCCTTGGCAGGGAAGCTTCTGAGCCAACGGGCACTTCCCTGCTCCAGTACAGCCCGTATCTCAGAGAAGGCTGCCAGTTTACCCAACGTATTTATTTATTTATTTTAAAAATATTTATTCTTCAGTTTTAGGTGGACACAATATCTTTATTTTACATTTATGTGGTGCTGAGAGGATCAAACCCAGTGCCTGTGCACTTTACCACTGAGCCCCAGCCCCCAGTTTACCCCAGAATGGTCGTGCAGGGTGGGCCCGGGTCCCAAAACCTAGTCTCTCTCTCTTTTTTTTTTTTTTGGTGTGTGTGGGGCTGGGGATTGAACCCAGGGCCTTGTGCATGCGAGGCAGCACTTTACCAACTGAGCTACATCCCCAGCCCTAGAACTTTAGTACTCTTAAGTAGCAAGTCTTAAGTTGTTTGGTTTTTTTGTTTTGTTTTGTTTTGTTTGTTTTTTTAACCAGGGATTGAATCCCAGAGTGCTTAACCACTGAGCCACATCCCTTTTTATTTTTTGAGACAAGTTCTCCCTAAGTTGCTTAGGGCCTCGCTAAATTGCTGAAACTGGCTTTGAACTTGCCTCCTCCTGCCTCAGCTTCCTAAGCCACTAGGCTTATAGGCCTGCGCAGAGAACCTGTTCCTCTTTAACTCAAGGGGCTGACATTGTGGGGTCAAGCACACCCCTGGTCTTGTGCTGCTTGTGCTGCTCTGACTGCAACCAGCAGGGGGCAGCTGAGCCCGCCCTTTCTTTCTGCTTGGCTGCAGAGGGCACAAGCCTGGCACCGCCCTGCTCAGTCAGGCTGCCTGGAACCATAGTCCTACCTGGTACAGAATCTGAAAGCGCTGCCCACGAATCCCCCAACCACAGCAGGTCCCTGACTTCTGACCTCCCAGAACCGTCCATGATGGGGGCAAGGGTCCTGGCCCTCCAAGAACACCAGATAAGAGGCTTCCTTGGGTGTCCACCAGGAGGGGACATGAGTTTTCCAAAGATCAGGAGCCATGTTCTATAAATAAATTCCACTTTGGAATTCTTTTGTATGTTTTCCGTGAAATGGCAACTTAGTCAAAATATTTAAAGTCAGGGCCATTTGGGGAAACCGGGGAGGTGGGGTGGGCACACCCTGGCGCCAGTCATCTCCCCCCTTTTCCACCCAGTGCCCACAGGAGCTGCCACCCCAGGGGCCTCCCCAACAGGCCCTGTCCTCCCTCACAGCTGTCCTCTCAGCACCTTCCGTCCCCCACACACACTAAGCTATCTTAAACTTCCACCTGTTTATTTCTCTCTCTTTGGTGGCCTTGAGAATGCTAGGCTAGCGTTCTACCACTGAGCTACACTTCCAGCCTGCATTTTAAACGATTTCACATAAATATAACTTACAACAGGGACATAATAGTCCCGGCTCTTTTCTAGACTTCTATGTCCCCTGCCATGCAATCTTAATTATTTAGTGGGGTTAGCAGTAACTGCTGATACTCTGAGCCAGTGAGCACAGGCCTCCCACACAATGTCAAGGTCAGCAGCCACACAGTGTTCCCACTTTACCCCCAGAACTCTGTCCCCAAGGAAAGACTTGCTCACAGGCTGTGCCCAGTTAGACCAATGGGGGGGGGGGGGGGGCGCAAAAAGGATCCTGCAGAGAGGTTCAAGGGCAGTCTACTGCTCCAGTGGGGTCACTGTTAGGGCAGTTAGGTCCTGGCCTAAAGGTTCCTATCAAGAGTCACCTATGTGGAAGCCAGGACTGCCAGGGGTCATGGAAAAGGGAAAGGTTTTCTTGGGGGTTTTGCCAACCTAGAGGTGGGAGCTGGCAGGATGTCCTGGGGCACCCTCCCGGGATTCCTGGTGGGTGGTTTGGAGAGGAGGCTGGAAAGGGAGGACCCAGTCCAATGTGGGTGGTATAGAAAAGTTGGGACTTGCTGGGCTCGGTGGTACTGGCCTATAATCTCAGCTTCTCAGGAAGTTGAGGAGGAGGATCATAAGTTCAAGGCCAGCCTGGGCAATTTAGTGAGATCCTGCCTTAAAATGCAATTTTGAAATGGTGCTGGGGAATGAACCACAGCACTCCTGGGTTCAATCCCCAGGACCAAAAAAAAAAAAAAAAAAGTTGCTTCTCCATAAAGTCTAAAGAAGAAGCCCCCTTCAGATCTGCCCCCTCAGTGGCCAAGAAAGGGTCTCGGGAACCAGGTTCCCACAGGTAAGACAGTCAAATGCCAACACAGGGGTGACACCTGTAATTCCAGTGACTCTGAAGGCCAAGGCAGGAGGATTGCAAGCTTGAGGCCATCTTGGGCAATTCAATGAGGCTTGTCTCAAAATTAAAAAGGGTGGAGATTAGCTCAGTGGCAGAGTGCCTCGGGTTCAATCCCCAGTACCTGGGGCGGGGGGGAGGTGGCAGACAGGCCAGTGCATCCAGTCTGCTTTGCAAACAAGGACAAGAGCTTCTGCCTCCATCTGATGCCCTCTCCCTCAATACCTTCTGCCACCAGTGAAGAGAGGCTGCCCTGAGTCCCCCGGCCACCCATGTGTTCTCAGTTCCCATGCTGCCCTGTTCCTTCTTCTGTGCCTTTGCATTTATGGAGCACAGGTGACCTGGAAACAGCCTCCTGCCTTCAGTCACTCTACAAATATTTATCTGGAGCCTTGCAGTGGTCAGAGTGACCTTTACAGAATGTCAACTGTAAAGTCCTACATTCACCAAGGCCTGCTATAGGTCAGGACCCTGTGGACACAGAGATGTCAACACACCCCACGCAAACCCCTCCCCTCAGGAGATCAAGTTCTGGAGGAGGGGTCTTGGTCAGAGTTGAGAGGTGACCTCAGGGCCCAGGCCTGTGACCCAGGCAAAACAATATGCATCAGAATAATGAAATGGGGTAAGCCAGCGGTGAGATCCAGAGCCTGCCCTTGGTCACCTGAGAGGCACGGGCAGCCCAGAAGAGGCCTGGGGTGTGGGGTTGTTTTCCACTGGGGCTATTTCAAGGCAGGGTGAGGCAAGGCAGTGACAGGAAGGCTCCTGGCCAGCACAAGATGACGGTGCAGTTTCCTGATGCAGACTGAGTCAAGGTGTCTCCGGGGCTCAGCAGGAAAGGGTGAGGGGCTCTGGCACCATGAGGAGCCCAAGGTGACCCAGAAGGCCACAGCTCCCAAACTGGATCCTTGGAGGATGGGGGCTGAAGTTCTGGCACATTCTCAAGTGGCAGCAGCAACACTGTCATGGTCCTGCCCTTGGAGTAAATCGGAAGCACCATCCTTTCTGAACCCTCTTGTCTTTTCCAGGGGTTCTTGTGGAAAATACCAGGGTCTCTCCCTGGGCTGGTGTGGATATGTTCAGAAACAAGAGCTGAGCTGTCTTCAGAACAAGAGTGGTAGGTTGTCACGAGGGAAGCCTCCGATCTTTATCCTCTGAGGCCAAGGTCTTGGAGAGGGGACCCTGACCCTGGAATGTGGATGTTGCCCAAGTCCCCCACCCCTATCCTTTCGCCTCCAACCCAGAGCCCCTAAACCAGCTGCCTGGGTGGATAAACTGTGGCCACCCCTCCAGGCAGGGCGGGCCCTCACCACTCAGCCCCACCCAGGGGCCCCTAGGTTCTGTTTATGGCAGTTTTCTGAAACAGCTTGTTTTGATCTACAGAGATCTGCTGACGCACTGGCTACCCCTTCTCCCTCCTGCATCAGGGTGGAGTTATTTTTAGCTTCATCGGTAGAGGAATAAAGAAGAACACAGGCCCACCATACTGTGGGCACAGCCCTGTGACCCCAAGGCAGGACAGGGCACCTCTGTGTGGTTTTGAAGCTTCCACTCACCTCTCCTCAGACACATGCCTTTTCTGAGGAAAATGAGCTGCGTAGAACTAGGAGGCCTGGACAGTTTCCAAACACCAACTCTGAAACTGTGTTACTTTGTCCTTGGAAGAGGGTGGCTAGGGCAGCTCCAGAGGAGAGGGCACAAAGGAGCCTGATACTGCATGGAGGGGCCTGGGCTTTATAGAACCCTGTGCATTGAGCATTGCCAGTTACCCCTCCTCCTACTCTTTGGAAAAGTCTAAGAAAGCTTGTGTCTGGGATTTGGGAACAATGTGTGTGAACGAGGGCGAGTTTTGAGAAGAGAAATAGAGAAAAACAAGACATCAACTTGGGCCCTGGAAGCAGCCAACAGTAGTGACTATGCATCTCTCGGATGCTAGCAGGTAAGAGCTGATGCCACAGCCTGGTACTGGGAAGCACCAGGGTGATGTCACTTGCTTGGTTTCACACACACCTCTCAGCTTTCTAGAACATTCTGACAGGAACAGTCCCTTCTCCACTGTTCTTTCAGGCCAAGTCACCCACCCCTGGAAAGGATGCCAGGCAAGATTGATGGGCATAACCTGGAGAAGGGCAAGCAGAGCCTGGGGACTCTCCATGGATAAGCCACCAGCCAACAAGCCCGGGCTTGCCACATACTCAGCCTTCTGTGTTGACAATCACATGAGAATGAGTCACCAGTTTTCCCAGAAGCAGGAGAGGGGTGCGGCGGAGCCCCGCCCTGCCTGCAAATGCCATCTTGCAGAGGCAGGGGAAAATTTCTATCTGGATTCCTCCCTTGTCGTCAAGGGAGCCTGTTGTCACAGGGTGGTTTGTTTGGGGTGTGGGCGGTTGGCCTGGGAGGAGACTTCTTTCTACCACCTACCCCAGGGGCGGGCCTTGAACCAATAGGTGCCCCATGGGGGTCTTCTCGGCCTCCTCCTCACCCTGGCCCCATATGGTAATGGAAGGCCGATTATTCTTTTCAAAACCCTCACAAAATCCTTAGCCCTGCCAGCCTTTTGACCGGGTTGCTTTTGGCAGGCTGGCATCCATGCCTTGTAGGCAGCCAGCCCGATACCTCCAGAAGCCACTAGACCCACTCCTTGGGGCCCATCACAAGTCACAAGCTGTCCCGGACCAGTGCTGAGGTTTTTGGTTTGTTTGTTTGAATCACTTTTCTCCCCCCACTCCTCACTCCAAAAGCAAAGTGAGTTTTAAACCTACACCCATCTGGTCTGGGCCCTACAATTGCCCGTATTGTTTTCCGCATAAACTTTCGCCATTAATACGTCACTCACTTATCTCGCTAAATATTCTATCCAGCGGCCTAATTAACTGCTGTTAGGGAATGTTTCAACTCCCCGGGTCCCTGCTGACCCGCAGGGACAGGACCAGGGACACGGCTGCACCCACCCGCCCCCTGCCATTTAAGCAACAAAGCAGGGCGTCTCGGCCACGCGCGCTGTGGGTACAGTCTGCTGTGCAGGTCACCGCGTTTCCCTCGAGAGGGTCGCGTCCTCCGGGGCGTCCCCGCCCCCACCGCGAGCGCCGGGGCGCTGACGTCACCGGCCGAGCACGCGGCGGCGCCACCCGGGAGTCACGCGCTGCCGCCCAGATAGTGCTGCGCCGCCGCAGAGATCCCTCCGCCGCCCCTGGAATTTTCCAGACGCTCTGCCGGCCCTTCTTTCGGGCCTCTGCTGGGCGGGGTGACCCGAGGCGACCCCAACTCCCTCGGTCGGCTCCGAAGCGCTGCCCCTGCACGCCCCCCCCGCCCCCGCCCCACCTGAGGAAGGGACTTCTCCCCGCGGCCACTGCCTCCCAAATGTGACGTTGGGATCTGTCCCCAGGAAGGCCTGTTACTAGAGAAGGAGGGATAATTAGGGAGTGGCCACCAAAGGGAGACCGTGAACCGCCCCTGGTTGGCTTCTTGGGCGGGGTGGGGAGGGACTTTTTTTCCGGTGTCAGTGGAGGAATCGTCCCGTTGAGTAGTGTCTTGTGACGCGACCCGGGACTATAAAAGCAAAAGTTGTGGCCCATCCAGCAGGAGTTAGCGACAGGCAGGGCTGGCGCCTGGGTGTAGTGGTGGGGCGGAAGTGACCAGTTCAGGGTCTCAGGGGACACAGGCAGGAGATGGCAGAGCTAGAGGGGGTGGGGGTGCGTGGGGAAGGAAGGGCTGAAAAGGAGCTTAGATGTGGGGGGCTCTGCAGCGCGAAGGCCCACAGCACCCCGCGAGGCCGCAGCAGCTCTCGGGCCTCGCTGTCCCTTCTGCTACTGCTGCTGGAGCGGGGATTTGACTTCCAGGAGGCCGAGGTCCTTCCATGGGCCTAGCTGGCCCTGGTGGCCTGGTTAACGTGGAGGAGGAAGGCAGGCTGAGGCGGGAAGAGGTGGAGACTGGCCTAGGCAGTGGTCGTTGGCAGGCAGGGTCGCAGGCCCGCAGCTGGGCGGGGAGGGCCGACTTGAAACTTGTCAATACCAGCAGCCCCCTTTTTTTCCAGACAAAGGGTTGTGAACCTGCCTGGGGATGAAGCCTGGTCTTAAGGAAACTGGACTTGGCTTCGCGGGCCGGGCCTGACAGCTCTGGCCCAGGGTGGTATGTAAACAGGGCTCACCCCGGAGCCCAGGAGGTGAAGGGTGGCCTGAGGAGTGATCACGATCCAGTGTGCCATTGCCACCTGTTAACTGGGGGCTGCTGAGGCAGGCTGCTTGTGTCTGGGGAAAATATTGACCAACCCTTTATTTTCCAGGTGGCAGTACCCTCCCCTCTGGACTTCCCTAGGTTCGATGCTAAACTCTTCTGTGAGCTCACTCTACCCCTCCTCCTCCCTCTAACTCTCTTGAGGTTATCCCTTCACTTAAAACCTTGCCTCTGGTCATCTGGTAAGCCTGGTGAAGTCGCAGGAGTGTTCTTGGACTCGGTATTGTTGGTAATGGTGCAGAAGGAAAGGCCTTCCCGGTGGAGCCTCTGGGGGGTGGGTTGGTGTTGCTTTTGGAGAGGGTGGGGATTGAATGTGCTCCCCTGGGTGGGGCTGCAGCAGTGGTTCCAGCAGAAGTCACCCGATGCCTCATGGACCTGGTTTGTTACTGTAGTGTTCATCATGGCGAGCAGATGGCACCAGGACAAATGGAGCCCCAGCCAGTGTGAGTCGTAGCAGTGCAGGAGGGGAGACCCTGAAGGAGACAGCCCGCTTAAGTTGATGCCTGCAGATTGAATTCCAGAGGCTTAGGAGGAGGAGCAATTCTCCAGTGTCTTGTGTCCAGGCCTTGCTCAGGATCCCTGTATTCAGGAGGCCAACCGTTAAGGTTTTCAGATGAGCTTGTGGGGGGCAGTTCACAAGTCCAAAGCAGATGCATCGGCTTGAGGGGCCATCACCTTTGAATGTTTCAGCAGCACCATCCTCCAGGCACAGGAATGCCAGCAGGCACCCCTCTTGTCCTGGGGGTGGTTTTCAGATGCTGCATCTTCTAAATTGAGCCTCTGGTCCTTCTAGTTCTGTGCTGTGAACTTTGCTTCCAGAAGATTCTTAAGTTATAGAACATTTTAAAGTTGATCCAACAACCAGCCTGATGCCTTTTAGATGGCACTTGGAGATGGAGCCCAGGGACCTCTCACCTACCCACCTGCTTACCTGCCTTCCTGTCTGCACATTGGCCGGAGGAATTCTTAGTGTGATGATAAAGCTTTTGATTGTTGGGGGGCGGGGCAGGGAGCTGTTCAATTTTAAATGCTTTAGGCAGAGGGAATTTGTTAGCTAGGTAGATTGTCAATCTGTGGGGGCTCATGTGTTGAGCTAAAGTGGGAGGGGACAAGCCGGTCATGCCCAGGAGCTGTGTGTTGGTAGGGGGTCTTGTCTGGGCATTCTAATGGCATAGGACCTTACAAGAAGGGAATGGTGGGCCCACCAGTAGTGGGTGGGTCATGGGTGTTTTGTTTTCTGGTGCTGCAGATTGAACAGGGCCTTGGGCATTTTAGGCAAATGCTCAGCCATTGAGCTACAACCCCAGCCCAGTTATTTGCCAGTTATTTGATTCTCCCCCACACTTTTTTTTATACATCTCAGAGTATTCTTGTCATTCCCTCTGGGGGAGGGACAGGGGGGCAAGGGCTGGTGGGGATGCAGTGCTGGGAGCATGAGGGTGTGGGATGTGGGTTGAGAGAAAGTATGGGCAGAGATCTGAGGAATTTCATAGAATTTGTGAGTGAAGAAAACACTAGTTAATGGTAAATTATTGGTTAAATGGTTGCATATAAGCAGTGAAAATTGCTTGGAAATTTTTATAAAAGTGCTTAGAACTTCAAGGAAAGTTCAAGAAAAAAAGCAAAATTGTTTTGCTTTGCTCTAAAGTGGGGAAGACTGAGAAGGTATAACTGAAAACAAGAATATTTAGTTACTTGAAAAATGACATGGAACTTGGTGTCAAAACTATGAGTTTTAAACTCAAGTATGCACTTACGATGAGATTAATATGGACTTTTCTGGGTTTGTAATTCATATTTTGTCATGGAGATCTCAGTGATTCAAAATTCTGAACAAAATGGAAATGCTTTTGGAGAGGGTGGGGATTGAATGTGCTCCCCTGGGTGGGGCTGCAGCAGTGGTTCCAGAAGAAGTCACCCAATGCCTCATTGATGTGAATTGTTACTGTAGTGAGACAAATGGAAATGCTTTTGGAGAGGGTGGAGATTAAATGATTTTTAAAGGAATTTCATAAGAAGTGCCTTATAGATTTTTCTGTGTTTGGTCAAAACCATAATAGCAAAAGTTTTGCTTACTTAACTATAGTCTTGAAATCAGTCATTGTAACAAGGAAAACCTTTTGTGGTCACAGTGAAAGTACTATATTTGTTAGCAATCAGAATTATTAATGAATAATCTATTGTATTTTTAGTTTAAATGATCCAGGACTAGGGGGGGGAATGTCAGTCAAAACCAGTTTAGGAAATAAAAGCAAACTGGGCAGAAGGGGCCAGCTTAAGAGGCAGGCTGTAAGAGCTCCTGTGAAACTCGATTTGCTTCTGAGCTGATTTTGTTGAAATGATAGAGTAACTCCAGTGGGCTTCATCCTGTTTTTCCTCCAAATTTGAACACTTTAAATACCCAATACCTTTTATCCTTAGGACTTTTCCTGTGTTCTGGGTTCCTTTTTTTTTATGCTTAAAAATACATTGGTATGGTACTTCAGTTCTTAGCTGGTGACTTGGGTGTGATACAATTACTGTCATTGGAACTTAAAGTATATTAGTCATGCTTGTGTGGGGAAATATTTCTGGGTATGCTGTTGTGTAATGAAAGCTGTAAAAACAGGTGGTTAAAGTACTTGTTTGTAAGGCACGCACTGTTCTGTTCTGTTCTGTGTGTGGTTTCTAACCATTTTTCTTCCCCTTTACAGCACAAATAAAGGTTTGAGTTCCAAACTCCTTAGAATGGTCTTATTGCTGTTATGTTGCCCGACTGTCCTGTCACCTCTGAAGGTGGATGTGTCCCTGTCCTCAGATTGTAGACTGAGGCCTAGATTCATGTTCACTAGTTAGCTCCAAATGTAATCTTCACTGAAAGGGAACTGGTACGTCCTGAGTACAAACTGGTGCCTCAGGAGGAGGGTTGTGCACTGTTGAGAGCTGGTAATGTTTGTGCAAATGTAATCCTGAACCACATGAAGATGAGTGTCTAGGTGGGAGAGTACGTACTTTATAATCTAGAACATTCTCTGGTCATATTTTCAAATGGCATCTATTTTGTTGGGGGAAAACATTCTAAATAAGAATAAAATTGACATGTAATATGTTTATTTAGTTTGCATTCTTTGGGAGGCTGGCATGTATCTGTTTAAGCACATAATTCTCATGTTCTCTTTTGGTACATGACTAAAAAGTTTGGGCTTATGTAAGTGCTCTATTGAGCCAGCAAGGTTTTCTGATGGGTGGGGAGGAATCTTGAGTGTGTGTCATGTAAACTGATCTGCATCCTGGGTGGGGAAGTGGCAGCAGTGACTCATCCTGACACTTGTATTTTTATGTGCTCTCCTGTGTACCAGCTTAGAAGAGTTGGAATAGAACACCACTGGCCTTCCCTGAGGGAAGTGTCCAAGGGAGGGAGAGGAAAGCTGGGCGTGCTTGCTAGGGAGGGAGAGGACCGATGGACTGGGACCAGAGCACAGGGAGTTGAGCTACAGGTCAGCCACTGTCTACCTAGTTCTGAGGGTCTCTTGGTGACCCCTCCCTTGAGCACTACTGAGAACCCCCAGAAGAGAAAGGTCATGTGCCACTAGAAGGCCCTCCGTCTGGTCTCTTGGCACTGCCAGTGGGGGCCACTGCTGTGAGCAATAGTGGTGTCTACAAATAGCAAAGTTGAACTTGAAGTTCTTTTATAAATGAAAGTAGCCTGAGGGCACGTATGGACTGAGAGTCCTGGGCGCCCAGGCTGGAGCCCCCGAGAAGTGGCCTGTTACAAAAAGGGGTGAGACAGTCACTGCCCCCAACACCACCCTGTTGGCCACCCTCTGTTGGTCTTACTGATCCTGAGAGACTGCAAGGACCTCTAATGCCAGGTGAGGAGGAAGGCTAGCCTCTGGCCCATTGGTGCCCAATGTGGTGTTGGGTTGTGTCGAAGGAGGAGACGCTAAAACAGGTGCACAGACATTTGTGGAGTGTTTGTTTTGTTTTGTTTTTGAGAGGCTATGTTTTTTTATTTGTTCTTTTTAGGTATACATGATAGTAGAATGTATTTTGACATCATACATGGAGTATAACTCCCTGTTGTGGTTGTACATGATGTGAAGTTTCACTGGTTGTGCATTCATAGATAAACATAGGAAAGTTATATCCCATTGATTCTACTGTCTTATTGTGGAGTGTTTTAAATACAGTACATACACGGGTGCAGAATGGCAAGGGGAAGCAAAGGGTGTCCTCGCCCTGCCTGCTGGGGCCTCTGACCTTGACCTGCACCTTCCCCCGTTCCTGACTGCTCACTGTTCTCACATCTAAAGGGTTTACCATAAAGTTTGCAAAAAACAAATTGAAAATCTTCAGTAATCTTCAGTTAACAAGTGTTACTGGTGTATTTGCATCTGGGTTTTTGTTTATCTTTTTATTTTGTCCTTATGCATCAGATATCTGTGTTTTATTCAAAAATGAGATTATATTTAAATTCTGTTTGACTCTTTCCTTTATATGTAGTGGACATCGAGTCATTTGAAGCATCGTTTTCATTGTTGACAATGTTCTGGTTCTTGCAAGGCTGTATTAACTTAAACAATCTCATTTAGATGAGCAGGTTATGTCCCAGGGTTTTGTTTTATTCCACTCAGGAAATAAAAGTTTTGATGATGTTCCATGTAAATAAAACTTTATCACATCTGTTGTTACTTATCCAAGATGAATATATATCTAGAAGGGAATGACTGTTACTATACTTCTTAAAACTTTAGGTTCATGTTGCTGAGTTGCCCTCCAGGGAGGCATTTTCTAAATCAGTGTTCTCACAGCAGGAAACCAACTCCTCCACAGAGTGCATTTATGGTACTAAAAACCTTTGCTGCTTGGGTGGATCCAGATTATGTTACCTTTGGACATAAGTGTTGTTCTGCCTGTTAGTGAAATTGAACCTTTCTCACATGTTGACTGGCCTTTGGCAGTGTGTGAGTGACCACTTGAAGAGTGACCATTCTTCAAGCACTTGTTTTCCTGTTAGTTGTTTTGTAAATACTGTTTATATATTAAGGACACCAATGATCTTTTGTTTGGTACCAAAAAAAATTCTGGTTTCTAGATTGACTTTTATTTCAGATATAAAAAAATTTTCTGAGGTTAATCAAATCACTGTGATTTCTGCACTTGTTATGCTTTGATCTGTTCTACCGTGAGTATATAAATATTAATCTAATTTTCCTGTGACAATTGAGTGGTTTCATTTTTACATTTAAACCTCTAAGTAGAGTTTTTGTGGAATCTTTTATGTGGTGGCTGGCCCTCAGAGCTTCCTTCTCTCTGGGATCAGAGGGATAATGGAGTAGCAGAGAGCCCTGTCAGCTTGTCAAAGAATTCCATGACCTCAGCATCATAAAAGAGCAATTGAATTCTTTTATCCTGTTGTTCTTATCCTGTATGATATTTACCAGTCTCCCAGGCTGGTAAACAGTGTTTTGACTGATTTAAACTGTGCTGCCATTGGCATTTCCACAAATTTGTTGTATATGTGTCATCTTCTCCAGAGTGGTGCAGCCTGGTCCTTGGTGATGTGGCTTTACAACACTCTTCACCCTTTCTCTTGTGAGCATGTCTGTTTCCTTACATAGTTGCCAACATCAGGTTTTTTGAATTTTATGTATTGATTGCTACCTTAAAAAATTTTTGTTGTAAAATGCACATAACATAAAATACATTGCCTTAACGATTTTTAAGTATACAGTTGATAGTATTAAGTGTAATAGTGTTGGGCAATTACAGTGTCCAGAACTTTCTCATCCTGCAAAAAACGGAAATTCTATACTCAGAAAGCAACATGAAACTCGCCACTCCCTCTTCCCCACAGTGCTGGCAACAGCCATTCTTTCTGAACTTGACCACTTAGATTCCTCCTGCAGGAACTCGGTATTTGTCTTTTGTGATTGGTTTATCTCACTTGGCACAGTGGGCTCAGGATTCGTCCAGGTTGCAACGTGTGTGAGAACGTCCTATTTAAGAAGCTGGGTGATGTCTGTGTGCGCATCTCCTGTTCTGTTTGTTCACTTGACTGGCTGTGTCTTTCTTTGGCTGTTGTGAATAAGGCTGCTGTGGACGTGGGGTGCAATTTTTTCTTCAAGATCCTGCTTTCAGTTATTTCAGTAAATGCATGTGAGGTCATACTTTATTGTGCTTTTGATTTGCATTTCCCTAATGGTTAGTGATGTGAGCTTCATTTCATTTGCTAATTGGCCATTTGTTTATCTTATTTGAAGAAATGTCTATTCAAGTCCTGTCCATTTTAAAAATTTGAGATATTATAATTGATGACTTGCCAGAGTTCTCTGTGTATTCCAGGTATTAACCCCTTATCAGCTGTGTGATCTGCAAATATTTTCTTTTCATTCCATAGTATTGCCTTTAGTTTGTTTGGTGGTGCTGGGGAGGAAACCCAGGACCTCCTCATCTAAGCACGGGGCTCTGCTGCTGAGCCACACCCCAGCACAGAACTTTTTAGTTTTGAAGTGATCAGAATTTACCTTACTTGAGTTTTACTTTTGTGGCCTGTACTTTTGGTGTCACATCCAAGAAATCATTGCGAAATTCAACATTACAACGTATTTGATGCTACTTTAAAAAGTATTTTAATTGTCTTCATCTGTATTTCTGTAATTCCTGGCTGGTCTGAGTATTTTACCACTTGATACACTGTCTCCATTTTTTGACTACTTACTGTGAGATTTTCATAAGGATGGTGAATTCTTAACAGTTGGCAAGATAAGCAATTGCCAGTCATGATTGTCAGACTTACTCTCCATTTTTCCTTGTTGTTGATGCATAAGTATATATACTTTTTAAAAATGTTTCTTTAGCTGCAGACGGGCACAATACCTTTATTTTATTTTTGTGTGGTGCTGAGGATCCAACCCAGTGCCTCGCATGTGCCAGGCAGGCGCTCTACCACTGAGTACAACCCCAGCCCTAAAAGTATGTATTATACAAAAACCTGAGAACAGTCTGATAAGTGTAGTAGTAACCAAGTCCAGATTTGCTTCTCATTACTTCCGTTTCAGTAGCTGAGCATGCACACAGCGCCCTTGAGCCCTCTGCTCCAGTTATTTATGATGCTAAAATCCACAGCGAGCTTGTACTGAGTAGCTCCAGCTCTCTGCCCTTCTGCTCCGGGTTGACCAGCATGAGCCTCTTATGGCTGAGTCTGAATCATATTTGGAAATTTCAGGTTCTATTTTTTGTTGTTATGTCCAATAAAATAGGACAAATCCCAGCGACTATTACTGTTGGTTATGTTTTAAACTCTAGTAAGCATCCCTCCTTAAGACAGGGATGTTCTCTCCCTTGTTGGAACTGAGAACACACAACTGGGTTATTTGGAGTCTCTGGTTCATGACATTATATGGCTCTCTTATTTGCTTCCTTGATTATTTCTAATAATGTAATATTTCTGAACCTTCTGCCAACATAAGAGCTAGGATGGTAGAGAAAGCAGCTTCCTTCTGCCCTCGTGGTGTCCTCCTCACAGCCCCAGCCTGAGCAATCAGCATCCTGAACCCTGAGTTTATCTTCCACTTGCTTGTTCCACTTGGTGTGATGTCGTTTCATGTGGTTTCCTTGATGGACAGAGCCCATCTTGTGACTCTACAGTTAGTTCCTCTGTTCTCCTATTGATGGTGACAGTTACTCCTTTTCTGTTAAGTGTCATTAGAGGAATGATACGCGATGCCTTCTTGTTTTAC